GTTGTCCAGTGCTTCTTGAGTTTTAGTTTCATCTTGGCGACCAGCAAATGATGATCGGATGCTATATCAGCTCCTCTTCTGGTTCTCACATCCTCCTGAACTTTTTGTTGATGCAGATATGGTCGATTTGATTCTGTGTAGTGTGATCCGGTGAAATCCAAGTGGCCTTGTGTATGTTTTTGTGTGGGAATATGGTGCCACCTATGACCAGTTTATTGAAGGCACATAAGTTTGCAAATCTCTCACCATTTTCGTTCGTTTCTCTCAGTCCATGTCGTCCCATTAAGTCTTCGTATCCAGTGTTGTCCATTCCAACCTTGGCATTGAAATCTCCCATCAGGATAGTCAGGCTCTTGGTTGGGCATTTCTCGAAGATCGACTGCAGCCTGTCGTAGACGTTGATAGGCGCATTGCATTGAATGACGTTCAATGTAATGCCCTCTCTCTTTGTTTTGAAGGCGGCTTTGATGATCCTTGAACCATGAGATTCCCATCCAATAAGTGCATTTTGTGCTTTTCTGGACAGCATCAATGCAACTCCTTGTGTATGTGGTGCATTTTCTTTTTCATGACCGGAGTATAACAGAAGTTCCCCTGAAGATAGTCGTTGTTGTTCAACCTGCGTCCAATGTGTTTCACTGATTCCAAGCACCTCCAGGTTGTATTTTCTCAATTCTGCAGCAATTTGGAAGACTCTTCTGGTCTCCCACATTGTCCGGACGTTCCATGTACCTATAAAAATTGTCTCTCTGGTTGGTGCATCGGCCTCATGACATCCGAAGGAACTCGGCTTTCATCATGAGACGTCACAACTATTCCTTCTACTCCCAGGGCAGAGTTTAAGTGGTTTGGATAATCTTTTTCTGGTTAGCGTTTTTTTAGCGAGTTGGTTTTTCTACGGGATGGGGTCGCTAACCCCATGCCCAACCCTCCTCCTTTACCCGGGCTTGGGACCGACAGTAACCCCCCGAGGAGCTACAGGCGGATTTAGGAACACTACATATGCCTATACAATTTGAAAGTGTTGTATGACTTGCTGTCTGTTTCAAATATCTACTTACTTCTTAATATTCCGCGCAAATTGAAAGTAATAAGTCACGAGTTACAATCTACATGTGTCTCTTGGGATGTAAGGATTCATGTAGTCATTCGTTAGTTTTCATACAGTATTAAATGTGAAGTGCGTGTGCCTAGAGTTCATTTTGTTACTGATATTTGGTCTTTTCGACTAACTGATAGATCAGCATTATGTCAGGGAAGTATGGCATTTAGATTAAATGTCATTCTTTTTCTAGCAGCAAAAAACAAAGATTGAGGTCAAGGTAATGAAAAAGACGCGAAACTATCCGACAACTCAGTTACACATTATAATTGAAAGGGCAATTACTCAGCTGGATCGAATATTAGGATTACTGTCACCTATAGACCCGTGTCTGATAATAGGGACAGAACTTATTTTGCAGTGATTATATCCTAATAAAACAATTTTTACCAGTAAACTTTATAACAGCTTTTTTTCTGATTATCATTAACAAAAAGCTTATTAACTTTGGAAGGAATCAGCACCAGTTAAAGCTAACAATATGATCTAGTGTGCAATAAGATTAAACTGTAAATTCCTTGACATAGCTGGATAGATACTGTAAACAAGTCACAGTAGTACTGTTTAGGTTTTGAACCTGAAAGCATCGCAATAGATCCATGTAAAAAATTTCAGTTTGGAAACAATGTTGAGTCTTTAATTTCAGGCTATTCAATAATATTACTCATCAACATAAGTCGCATTTAAATAATTGAACTATGTAACCTACGAAGAATGATAGAAGCCAATAGTTTGGACGCAATCGAAAGTAGACTTATCCCCCGATAGTTATTGCAGGAACAACGTGAACCCTTTTTAAAGATAGGGACGACTATCGACTCATTCCATGATGTTGGAACATTTTCTTGCTCCCAAACCTTTCCAAACAACAGTCAATTCCTTAGTCAGGTCACCAGCATCTTTAAAAAGAGCCGGAGGTAAATCATCTGGGCCCGGTGATTTGTAACGTTTCAAGAGTTGGAGTTCCTTGCGGACTTCCGCCTCGTTTGGTGGATCAGTCGTTACCGGCCATGGGGGGCAGGACAAACTGGTTGATGTTGCCGGAGCAGCAACCAATGCTCATCTATACTTTTCGGTGGGGTGGTAGCTAGCCTAGAGGCTAGCTCCGCTCGATACTTAATTGCAACAGAAGTTGCAGCCAGTTTACCAACATCAATCCGTTGGTGGTGATCAATCCTTCGGCCACTGAAAAGTAAGGTGAGATTGGCGCAGACCAGGGCATGATCAGACTCCAGATAGGTACTCCAAAAGGAGCGGCAGTTTTGTACACAACCACGACAGCGGTAGCTGATCGCGATGTGATCAATCTGAGTCCAGGCTTGGGATGCAGAGGGAGGACGCCAGGTAGCACACCGGCGATGACTGTGCCGGAAGTTAGTGCTAGCCAGAAACAGGTTGTGGTCTGTGCACAGTTGCAGTCCCCGTTATCTGTCCTGCGACCAACAAGTCCCCATCGGCCACCTAAGCGGCTCTCTTCTGTGCCTAGACGCCCGACCTGTGCATTCAAGTCTCCGCCTGGTACTACAATATCTGTCGAACGCGCTTTCTGGAGAAGAACTGTTAACTGGTGGTAAAACTCATCCTTGATTGCATCCGGGCTGCAATCTGTCGGGGCATAGGCGGAGATGACGAAAAGACACCGATTCTCACTTTGATGGAACTTTCTAATCTAACAGCACATAACCGACTGTTAATGGGGATCCAATCGATTAGTGCTGCTTCAGCCCTAGCGCTTAGTGCGACACCAACGCCAGCAAGACCAGACGAAGATGCCACAGGGTCCCGGATAAGCGCACGTGAAACAAGCTTTTCGAGGCGACAGATGGAGAGCGGATTTGTAGTACTTTACTAGAGTCTTGAATACGGGTCTCGGATAGACAGCAAACATCAACATTAAGACTTTCTAAAGACATAGCCAGCCCCATCTGTTGTCCGATCTGCATTAGTGTGCGAACGTTGAAGGAAGACAGCTTGAACGGCGTACGTGGTTTCAGAAAGACTGCCTCAGTATTCATTATCTGTGGAAGCATTCACTTTCAACCAGACAGTGACTGGAGATCGTTTAGATAGGACAGATTTTCCACCATGGGCGAGCTGCTGCATAAGTTGAAAAGTAAGGTTACACAAATTGGGGATAAAAGGGGGTGAGTTAGCGATATGGTAAATAATAATAATAATGTAAATTGTCTTGCTTCTAGTATGAGCAGGAATAGTATCGTCAATAGAATTCATCATTTCATTCATTTGTGTGTGGGCTGTGATACTGCCCGGGTGCCCAAACCGAAGCAGGTGGTTTTCTTAGGGGACCACACCCCGAGCCTTTGACCTAAAGGTCTGATCCACAAGGCAGTGGAGCATCGTGAGGAGATGCAGTCCCATGGTAGCCGGTCACCAATGACAGGTTCGTCCGCCATTCGTTCCGTCAGGATACTGGAGCCCATGTGCACCATTGGTTTGGAATCAGGGTTTTCCAACTCCCCTAGGTGGACCCTCCGTGTCCACCAACCCGGTTAAAGCGCCAGACATTCGCTTTTCGTCCTCTCACTTTCGTAAACAACACCCCCGCCACGAGGAGGCAGTGAGTAGGACTTCCCTGGCAGAGGCTATATATTCGCTGGCCATGTGAGAGCATTTTGAGAGGGAGAGTGGACTCTCCCCACTCTCGGCCGTACCAGGGCATTTGGGGGCCAGCACTGCAATTACTGAAAACTCACAGAAAATTACCTCGAACGAAGCCAAGGTAGCACTTTTTCCTTATACAACCGATGATATTGTGGTGCCATTCAATATCATGGAGCCTAGCAGGTAACTATAGATAACTTATGGGAATAATTATTGAACACAATATTGTAGGTTCCTGCTACATTAATATCGTTACCTGATGTAAAATCTATAATCTATGTATGAAAGGAATATAAAAGACCTTGTGCGACACAATAAGGACTGAAGTGGTAATGTAATTTGAATATGATTTAAATTTAAATAATCAGGAAATTGCTATACATGATAAAGTAAAAAATATCCTATATTAAACCTTATGTTACTAAGTTGTGAAATGAGAGAGATTTTTTCTGGTAGTCATTTATTTACGTAGCTCGCTGCATCAAAGTTATTACATAACAAAAATTTTACAGACTAACTGATAGTCAACAACATATCAATCAGTTATCCCAGTAAATAATATATTAGTAGACTAGAGTTTTCACAATATCAGTTTCTACGAGAAGAGATCACTAAATTTTAAAATGTTATCCATTTTAGTCACTAATCTTCTCCTCTCTAATATTCCAGGTATTTTTACAGTGATCATTTGATTGAATACGATTTTGATGAATTCTAGACAATGAAAAGGATTACAGAAACACTGGATGACTACTTATTTCTAATCATGTAATGTTGAAAGTAGGGATGTAGATATTCTTGTACAGTGCAACTGGATTAACTGTTACATAAGCGGTAAAATGATGAACTGGTTAACTACAAGTAGATGATTCTGTGTTGTTAAAAGTAAAATATTGGAATGAACACTACGACTTTTATCGAATGTAAAAACTGAAAGTTGGTTAACGTGTATAAATTATCTCTAGACAATCATAATGTACATAATTTCATTGTCGTTTAAGTAAATTACTTCGACTTTCCATACAGGATATCATTAATGTCATATAGAACGTATTCATGATAAAAGAAACTTTAGGGTCTACAAGATACGTCTATTCATGTCCGTAATAATCATTACTTGTATACGTCTGATGATGAACTTTAAGTTATATCAAGTCGTACTGTTAATCTGGATGATAGTAAAACTTGTTAGGCAAGGCGTGAATATCCAAACGAAACTTTATGATTAAAGATTATTTTCACAAACCAGCTTTTAAGTCTTAACCTGTATATCAAATTTGGTAAGTTTTTATGGAATCCATCCAACTAATTAACCAGGGATAAAGTGAGAGCAGCTGGAATCCGATTAAATAGTACAGTTTATTCAAATATAATGTACGAAAATTTCTTAATATGACTGACTGATTGTGTTTATTTGTTTAACTATAACCACACTACTGACCTTTTACATGCAACAGAATGAAGGAATTATCACTCATTTCTCAATCCTAACCAAACATTCAGATAACTTTGTCAGTTCCATGTTTTATCGATATTTGAAGTGACACTGTCTTTCATTACCATGAATATAAAACAACTTTTCAGATATTTAATTAGTTTTAATCATAAATATACAAAAGTGGTTTAGATTTTATCAAATCTAACAATTAGTCCATTATCACCTACACACAAAAGAATATCTCCATCGTTAGCAAAACGAGTTTGTCTAATGGCACTGTGACTTAAAGGCATACCACCGGGACCAACTCCACTAACTGTAGGAAAATGAAGTACTTGAGCTGGGAGATTAAGAGCATTTTCAGGATATTTTAAGTCCCACAAATAGACACGTGATGGCCCAGTTCCTGTACCCAAAGCCAGAACATGATTCTTTAAATCTATATCAAAACGAATATACCATAAGTTACAGTCAGTAGCTTTTAACTGATGAATAATGCTTGTCTTGTGTTCCGTTGGGACACCAGGTGCTGGGGGGATAGGCGATTCAGGACCTGTGTATGAGCCAATATGCTGCATCCGACTCGGCAAACGCAGACCGCCAACATCTGTTGAGGTATTACTTGGAGACCCATTGGTTAAACTAGGTATATTTGCTGAGGAATCATCTAGTCCGCCAGGCTTCCAGAGTGTAACACTGTTTTCACACGATTTTGATATGACTAAAGAGCCAAACCAACGGGCACAGTCCACATAATTACCATGTACATCACGGGAACTAAATTCAGGGAAGTGTTGAACAAGCACAGGGAACGGCCTATGAAATAGTGGTTTGAGAGAAATATGGTCACAAAAAATAGCTCATTACAATGGAAACAGTTAGAATACAGATAACATAAGAATGTTTAGTTTCGCTGATCATATAACTAGGTGAGATAATTTTCTGAATGTCTGCAACTACTTTCCTGGTGGTAAGGCTTTGATGTTGCGTAACAGTGAAATCATAGGTTCAGTGACGCTGCGTAGTATACATGTGATTAAGATGTATTGGATAAATACAACGAAAGACAGTAGTTTACTCTAAAATTAATTGTACATAAATACTATGGTGTGTGCTACTGATGTCGACAGACATAAGTAGTATGTATCATCAATCGAAAGTGAAATGCCTGGGGGCCGAAGGTAAAGAAGATCAAAGAAAAGAGAATGAGAACAAAGAATGACTGGCGTGGAAACGAAAGAACAATGAAGTTTGAGACGATTGACTGATATTTCCAAAGGAACAGTCAAGTTTGAGACAATTGATTGACATTTTGCAAATTAAGTATTTACCGTATGGTTCTCAGATTTTACTAAGACGTTTTGTAATTTTGTATTCAAATACATTCGATTGTTCTCACTTGCGTTCTCGTTCACTAATGTCGTACTGAGAACAAATAAACAGATTTATCCCAGGTCCGCTGGCTCAAAGAGGTTCTTTTGTACATTTAGAAATCAGAACACCGCTTGTTACGACGAATAACAATATATAATGCTGAAGCAGCACAAAATGTAGTCACGAAGACACCACTGAAGGCTTCTCGATGAAACGAAAAGTCATCCAGAGTTTCCTTCTGTTTTATTGCTAATCCAGCTGATGATAGCTCCTAATGAAAACTATTTGTTCCTAGAAATCCTTTGTCTACTTCCCATAATCAGAAGGGAATATTAGCATTAGTCCAGTAAACACTTAAGTTAGAGTGATAATATGTATCCTGGTTGGTTGGAGAATCAGAGTTCTAGCTGTGTCATAGTGCTGATATGGGGATTAAACATGAAAAGGAGTCACTACAGAAATATTGTCCTTATACAAAACACACATCGTAAGTTGAAATAAAAGTAGGAGCCTGCTATGAAGGCATAACTATGTAGCTTCACATTAATAATCACTGGATAGTTTAAATGTTAACTTTTTGATTCAATAGGCACTATAGAAATTAAATTGCAAACAAGTATGCGGGATGTATGTTAAATCCTATATTTTCTGCGATTTTACTCAGTAAGAAAAATAGTCTAACACGTATTCCCAGTTAATTTCTCTAGCATAATTGCTCAAGTGACCTGGTTGTCTTGAATGAGATGTGGAAAGTGGTAAGTGAATGAATGGTTCAATTCGGTGATTTTTATAACCTGATAATTTTTGTATATTTATAATAGTAATGAAAATTAATGAGAGAACTAGTAAAAAATATAAAGTTCTCTAATCTCAAGCTGAGATTCTTCAGTAATGTTGGGTGGTTTTGATGAATTCATATCATGTGATAATTCATCATTAAACCAATCAAGAAGAGAATTGTGGTATCAAGTCGGAGATTATAACCAGAACTCAGTTTTGTGGTACGCATAAGTTGTTTAGAGGAGATACCGACTAAACACGGTGTTATACAATAAATCACTAGTAGCGGAGAAAAACTTGGTGTAAATGGTGAGTTGACTGTCAACCAAAATCAACAAATCACACTGAAAAATAGGAATGTTCACCCTCAAGATATTTGATAATGTAATGTGTCACTTACTTAGGATTCGAACGTGAGCGGTAATTAAATGAATCTATTACCGCATTGGCTAATTCAGGAGTATTAAGCCGCCAAATTTTCACACAATGATCCATGCCAGCAGATAGCAGAAGATCACCTGTAAGGGATAGGTCACCATGTAGAACTTCAGCTCGGTGACCTTCAGCTCCACCGAAAATACATACGAGCACGTGACTAGCTATATTCCATAGACGAATGGTATAATCTACATAAGGACAAATGAAGTGGACGTGACGACAGAGAAGTCTGAAGTTTATGTTATTCATGAAGAACTCAAACAACATTAATTGTTTGGATACGAATAACATTATTATACCAACTAAAACGAAATATACGAACACGTAGCAAACGACGTGGGAAAAGCTATAAAATACATATGATGTAAGATAGAAAACTATTAGGATTGTGCACTTTATTTGAGAATGTAAACAAATTTATATTGACTCATTATGTATCGTTTGTTTGAATAATCCTACTGATGTCTAAGACTGCATATGATCAATCTGTTTTTGCCATATGTGCATCCTGTGCGGATTTCCTCCATATTGTATGAAGTCACACGCATTACGAGCAAAGATGGATGGTGGCTAGCAGTAGAGTCCATTGATTACCACACTATGAAACGTATTCTCTGACTGAAGTTAAGTATGACTTTTATGGGTTTACACTTTTTATTGGGAACAGCAATGGTTTAGAGCCCTAATGGGTTGAAAGAAATATCTAAAATTATATTTTCCGTTCATCATTTACAGCATATTTGGTCTACAAAAACTGCTGTTCTCCGTAGCACCGAAATTGAAGTTGAAGTCGATCATGATTTTCATGTGATTGTCTGAAGTAAGAGATATGCATTGACACAAGCAAGCTTCATCCTACTATACGGCTATTAGGTGTAACCGCTGAATATAGATGAAGTCGAGAGACCACATGTTTTTTTTATCAAAATTACCCAAAGGGGTAGTGTGAATGAAGAAAGTGAAATGGATGAGTTATGTATTACTTATCCTGAGACAACGCTTAGTCTAATATTGGTGTCAGTAAAGTGTTTTTGAAGAAAATGTGATCAGACCAAGGGACGAAATTAATTCATGAAGCCTGCCTTCAAGGGTATGATTCATGTGGATGAAAGTAAACTTCCTGGAGTTAATCATAAAAAAGACAGTTATTGGAGACCCTGGATGAGATAACTGACTAACTGAACAACAGTGATACAAAAGGATTCACCATTTATCTTCCTCGAGCATCTGTATATCTCTCATCTACCGACTCACTTCTTTTTGCTTTTTCATTTTATCACCTGCTTACTTCTGTCAATACCCCATTCCTTTGATGCTATGAATTGTGGAGACTCAAATTTATACATTTTTGTGTGCAATTGTAAACAGTAATGTCAGTTTCGTCAGAACTTTCTCTTAACTGAAGTTATTAATTATTTACCGCCGGAAGTTACTGAATATTTACTAGCTTCCTATTACTGAAGTGTCATTTGCGAGACTAGCTTATGTATTATAGCTTCAACACTTTCCAGTAGTTACAATGCGATGAACCAAATCAGTCTTATTGTTCTGAAATAACCAACCGAATATTATATTCGTATGATTCACTTTGTTAGCCAAGACGAAAAATATACCCCACAGATATGATGTAAAAGTAGATCTGTGGCATGACTTTATACTGCAAAAGAAATGTTACCTTTAATAGTTCAGGTGATGCTTCTTAAGAATTTCCTTCTCTCAAATTGAGGAGAGCACAAACAAAAATTTCAGAAAATCAACATGAATTTGTTAGGTTTGAATCAGCTGCTTATAACCTAGAACGCTTTGGAATCAAAACTACTAGATTTATTACACTTATATAAGTCAACAGTTTCTTTTGATATGACATCTTTGTTTACTGAAATAACTCTTTTTGAGACCATAGACATTATTTGCCAGTATTCTGGTCTCTTGGTTCTATAAGTACCTGATTTCAAACGACTGCTGCTTATGTGAGAGATGTGCCGTTTCGTGACCTGAAAGATGTTTCTACGGCCAATACTAAAAAGACTGAGCTGGAATGACGAATAATGAGATGATGTATTGTTAGGGTTATGTCGACGACAGGTTTATCGTATGTAATAATTAACACCACCCAAACTGCCCACTGGAACTCTCAACAAGGCTCAGAGGAACGTTCAGTTTATTATGGAACATAAAAAAGATGGTAGGTTCCACTTTCTAGGCATTCCAATGCAACAGACAGCAAATAGCAGAAATCAACGTTTAACTTGACGGTAGGGTATATGAAATAGAATGTATCTAAATTTTATAAGTTTTTATCCAGTGATTTAAGAAAAGATACTTGAATGACAATGTCATCCTCCGATTCCTTATTCCTCCATAGTGTTATTTTCAGCTAATTTTATTTCATGTTATTCTTTATGACCACTAACTTGAATTCAGCCTAATACTAACTCCATAATCTCTTGTTACTTACTTAGTGTTCTAGAATCTTTTTTGCACAAAGTAATTATTCGCAAAAGTTTTTCACTTTTAATAGCCATATTCGAATCTCCACTTCACTATGATAGTACATATTCACACTTTTAACTTACCTCACTTGTATAGGTAGGTTAATTTTTGTTTTTTAATTTAGTCGTAAAATATTACAGATCGGACATGTTGGTGAAGACCTAATGAACGTCAAAATATTTGATTTTGTTACTGATAAATTCAGTTGGTAACAACGTTTTCTATTTATTAGCTATGGATTGTTATAAATCGACTAAATGTAAGGGGTTGTACTTATTTGTATAATTTGTAGGTAAGAATTAGTACAGCTTCAGATGGATATATTTCTAATGAACTGAGTGATTTAACTATACTGTTGCTGTATATAATTATTAGTTTGTGCTATTATGGAAAAATGCAAGGTGCGAAATACATCTGAAAGTAGTAAGCGTGTTGTATAGTTTATGTCTATAAGCCACTAGGATTAGTTAATGAACGACTTATAAAATATTTCACTAACCTTTACTAAAAGAAAATAGTAGAGCAGGGTCTCTTGGGTGAAATCTTAGTTCATTAATAGACGATCCGTGACCAACAAGACTAGCAGGACAACTAGCCATACTAGGACAGAGGATTCGAATTACACCACGTTTACCTGCAGCAGCTACTACTTGCTGATGAGCGGGTAGAAGTGATCCACTGGAAGAGCTGATAGGACCTTGATGAGGATGAAGAGTTGGACGTGGTCGACGACTTTCACAGCAATCAGTCCACCAACTAGATGCTACATTACCACTTGTATCACGCGACCAAGCACAACAATAAAACTCTTCTTTATCTCCAGCAGGATCGGCAAAGGATTGGAGTAGACAAACAGATGACATATCAGAGCTCTGAGTAGATTTATCTTCCAGATCATTCTTCAGACTACATTGATAAACTGTAACCTACATATTATGAGTAAAAGTAAAACCTAGAAATATTAAGACTGGAATGAAGAAGTAAAAGGAATTAACGTAAACAAATGGATTAAAAGCGATTGAGTAAATTTAACTTTGTTAATACGAAGCTTACATAGTGACTAGCAACTGTAGCAAAAAGAAGAGGATCAGTTGGTTGACTTCGATTGATTGAATTAAACGCAACACCGAAAACAGATTGGCTATGTGTTTCACGTATGATGCATGTTGGTTTATATTGGAAGTTTGGCACAGTTGCGGTTTCTACTACGTTGGGAAGACTATTCATTAGATTTGTTGGCGAAGAAGTTTGACTGGGATGCTCGATAGTTCTTGGTGATATATTTGGTGAGAGAGAAAAAGAGTGAGGATTACTATTCACTGTTCTTTCTCTCTTATTAGGCGATGCGAAATTATTTGATTGAGTCATATTTTGAGTCTGAACAGAACTATCTGTATACCCATTCATATGTCTAAAAAAAATATATTTAAAATTCAGCTTAATGAAACGAAAAATCTGAAAACTTTTTGATATTTTAGAAACAGTACTGACCACCATTTAGACATATATATAGAATGACAAAGGCTCTAATATTAGCCTGTTAGTCTTTCGAACACAAGCTGAAAATCTATTAGTGCTACGAAATACTTTTTTGATTTGCATGATAGCGTCCTAACTACTTTGGGATTAAGAATTATGCCCACTGACATACTTTTGACACATTGACTTTATGGACATTCAACGGTACATTATGTATAGCACTTTAAGATGCCTGTACGAATAAAGTGCCATGATTAGCTTGAAAAATGTTTCCACCAAAATTTATGAAGACAGTAAACTTTATCTTGTTTTTATAGGAATCATGCAGTGATGACTTGGTAGGTACGACACTACGTTTCCGAACAACAGATAGTATGCTGGGAATCCGTTATACCTAATATTAACACGGAAACCCAGTAGTATCATTACCCCTTGGAAAATTGAAGATTTAAGTTGAGTATGAATTCCTACACTTGGCAAACGAGCTACATAATGGAAATCACTGGAATTTTAACTGTGTTACAGTCACAGATATTATAATAGTATCGTCGTTCTTTTACAACTGTAAAAGTGAAAACATAACCTATTATATCAGCAATAGAAGTAGTATTCAACAACATTTAGAATTGCTGGAATGCTACAAAAAGTTTCGAAAGTTTTTATTGAGGTCAAAAACGCACTTACTCAAAACCGAGGTTCAACAATAAACAAATAAAACAATGACAACAAGGTATGCACATAATATATCAGGTATTGGAAAAACCAGTCTACTGGCCGCAAGGAAATTCTTATGCAAACCAATCGTCGATGATAAGTCATCTTACTTACTTACGCCAGCTACCCCCAGTGGAGCATAGGCCGCCGACCAGCATTCTCTAACCCACTCTGTTCTAGGCTTTCCTTACTAGTTCTATTCAATTTTTGTTCATCCTTTTCTTACCTGTTTCAATTTCTCGGCTAATGTGTTCTTTGGTCTTCCTCTTCTCCTATGGCCTTGAAGATTCCAAGTGAGGGTTTGCCTTGTGACAGTTGGGTGTTTTTCTCAATGTGTGTCCTATCCACTTCCAGCGCTTCTTCCTTATTTCTTCCTCCACTGGAATATGGTTTATTCACTTCCACAGTAGAATGTTGCTGATAGTGTCTGGCCAACGAATCCGAAGTATTTTGCGTAGACAATTGTTAATAAACACCTGTAGTTCTCTAGGTTTCCGCCCGAAACAGTAGAACTGTCTTGATATTTGTATTGAAAATCCTGACTTTGGTGTTGGTTGATAGTTGTTTTGAGTTCCAGATGTTCTTCAATTGTAGATATGCTACTCTTGCTTCGCCGATTTGCACCTTCACATCTGCATCAGATCCACCGTGCACATTAATGATTCTGGCCAGATATGAAAAGGTTTTTACATCCTCCAAAGCTTCTCCGTCGAGTGTGATTTGGTTGGCGCATGTTGTGTTGTATCAGAGTCTTGCTTTTCCATTTGTGTATGTTGAGACTTACTGCTGCTGCTACACTGGTCGTCTTCCCCTGCATTTTTGTTGCGTGTGGTGAAAGAACATAGTCCTGTTTTGTGAAGACACAGACAAAATGCAGTGTTTTGATAGCACTGAGCAACAATGCCAGTAGGTTCGGAATGCGTTTCTTCCCCTCTAAATGGGATTTGTTGATTTTGGACTGGCCTGTTTCAACACCTGAACTAAGGAAATGTAGTGAAGTAGTTGAACGCGTTGACGACTTCATTTACCTTGGAAGCGTAATCAGTCCTAATGAGTTGTCTGACGAAATCTGTGCACAGATCCAGAAAGCTCGTTTGACTTTTGCCAACTCACATCACCTATGGCGAAGGCGAGTTATCCGTCCATCGATTAAGGGACGAGCATACTGAGCAGCAGTTCCCTCTGTTCTACTTTACGGTTGTGAAAAGTGGTCATTAAGAGTAGAAGATACTCGTAAGGTACTAGTATTCGATCACCGATATATTGCTCGCATTTGCTGGGATCACCACGTAAGTAATAGTGAGGTTAGACTCAGAGTATTAGGGAATGATGGTAAATCAGTTGATGAGGTTGTGGATCTTCATCGACTGAGATGGTTGAGCAACGTATTATGAATGCCTAACCACCGATTACCACGACGCGCAATGCTGGCTAGTGTTGGAGACAGATGAGAAAAAGTTAGGGAAGGCCAAACCAAAACATGGCATCAGTCCTTGAGGTCAATAACTTCTAATCTGAGCCATGTTGGTAGATGCAGACTACATGGTTGGTTTTCGCACGACTATCGTAACCAATGGCTGGAGACTCTGTGTGGCTTGGCGCTTAATCGATCACAATGACGTAGGTGTATACACTTTGCCTTCCCTTAAACGATGAGGTTAAAATTACCATATACCTTTCTTTCTGCCAACTGATTCTTTCTCCCTGTATTATATCCCTATATAAAATCTTTCTTTTATATATTACCACCGTTGAAGTGACTTTCTATGAATTCGGTGTCCATCTCGTTGTGCTAATGAGGTGTGGAAACTTGATGCGATGCATATGTGTGCCTAATCCTACGTTGTAGATCGCTGACTGATGAAAACTGAAACAATCGCATTTTGGTTCGAATTTTAAGCTGAAGTTCAGAGAAACTTAAAGACGCTATTACCATAACAAATGGATAAAAGTATTAATCTATAATTTGGGATCCATAAAATCTTAAGGTTACAGAACCAAAGCGAGATAGAAATTTACCATTGATTTTGACCAACTGAGTAATTGTGCATGAAGATTAATAAGAGATGTAAGTGAAGACTGACAGATGGCATTGCCTATAGGTTCTATCTTTAGTCATGTATGTTAATGACTCAAACTACTGCGCTAAATGGTCCGCTGGACCTTTCCAGGAAGCTGTGTCAACAAATGCTAGTTTTGTACGGTACTTTAATTGCCCAGAGCTGTCATAAACTATATTTCCACAGCGCTGAGAAGTTATGTGAAGCATAGAAGTTATTCAGATAGCATTCGTAAAAAATACCTAAGTCATTGAAGCCAACGTTTCCAGTACATATTTATTTGGTTGTGATCACCATGTCCAAATGCATTACTGGACTTAGACATTACTGACGCTGTCACCAAAGGGTTTGACCAGTTTAGAAACAATGATTATAGAACATGGAATTGTTGAACAACCTCGGTTAGAATAGGCCAGATTTTACATGCTTAAAGCACAACCACTATTAACGTAGTTGTATGTCATAGGTTTTACAAACAAACTAACAACACGGAAGATGGCCTCGGTTGGGATGTAATACTCTGACTTTCTCTATAAGTAGAGTAATCTGGTTAATCACAATACAGCTAGCACTCACACTTATCCAAATACATAATAATCTCGAATATTTAGTCTCTCCCAATGGAGCGAACTCATTTACTGGATATAGTAGGGGACTTCAAAGTTTAAATGTAACGATACATAAAAACTATTCACTAAATGTTTGAAACCTCAAAATATTTTTGTTATAATACTGTTCATTAGCGATCATTACGTTCACCTCAGCAACTGAAGATGGCAGATTGATTACTCAACCGAAAAGTGTCTAACTGTTTAATTTAAGCCTTTAAAAACAAAAACACTATACTTAGTTATAACGCTATGAAACTGAAGATTTAAAAATATTTGAGTGCAAATCTTAAGTACTCAAACAGAATTGATACAGAGGTTTTGGACTGACACGATAACTGGTATTTCTATGACACACTAACATAAGCTACCTGCTTTGTTTTTACCTACTGTATATCCCAAAGTGATTTCTGTAGTCTTGGGTTAGATGTAGTAAACGTTCAGTAGTTTTTGGGCTTGACACATCCATGGAAAAACGCCTAAGATTATGGCGGTCAGGTAGACAAGCAGTCGAGATGTTTATGGGGGCAAGGAAAAATACGAAATAAGTCAGATCAATATTTAAAGGTCTACGACCGTGAAGAACTTGTGTTGAATTTATTAATATTAATGTAGAAAAAGGCGACGTGCACCAATAACAGAGTATTACTGTCCTATTACCTATAAAATGTATTTGTCTGTTCTATTTGCCGCGTCGATGGGTGGAAACTGAAGAAAAACAAAGTGGAAGATAAAGAAATGCATGCAGACTTTCGAAAGATATCAGTTTATTTCTTGAGTTCGCAGCACAAGTTCACCAAAGGAAGCACATATCTTAAGCTCCCTGCAATTGTTAACATTTTGTGAAAAATCTGCAACATGCTTATAGTACAACTACAATCGCAAACAAATAAGATATAACATCATTAGTCATGGGTTGTATACTAAGTCGTTCTCTAAAAATACTGTAAAGGATTAAAGACATAAAACCTCGAGTGAAGTTTTATTTCCAGATATTTTATTTTAGTCACATTACTATTCAAATACTGCCTAGAGAATACTTAAACAGGACCATATCCTCGAGGAAAAATCGGACGATGGAGTAGGTTATTCATAAACAATGCACTAAAAGCACATTGAAAAGGAATGATATCCTTGATCCAGAAGAATAAAAAAAATGATTGTCTAAACAATCTTGATACGTTTTTAAATTGCAGTGTACCGAAGAACTTAAACATTATATTTTTGTTAATAATAATGATGGTTTCGTCACGTGTCAGATTCGTTTCTAAAGAAAGCTATGATTCACTGGCTTCCCAGGTTTCATGCACTTAAAACCCAGTTCAGTTACTTTTATCAGGTCAATAAAGCTATATCAAGATAGCTTAAAGTATCTTCATGTAATAAGTACTGTATAGAGCCATTATTGATTTATATTTGAAAACTACACTTGATATGACCTTCGATTTTTATGTCCAAAACAATCTGTCACGCTCGGTTCATTTGCTGAAAATCTTACGAAATGTGAGCAAGTGGTATTGTGGATTGACTTATTGTAGAAGAAATTGAAATAAAAGAAATGGAATAGTTATAAAGCAAAAGTGGATGACAGGATAAAATATACCGGTGAGTGATTTCGAGATTTCGAGCATGATTTCTACGGCAGATATAATAGATCATGCACGATTCATAGTAAATATCTTTACAACATAAACTACTTGTTCCCTATTTCATCTCGTTGTGTGTCTCACTGAAGGAACATTTGAAGAATGATGGTGATGACTACTTGCTATGTAACTCTAATGCAGTTTGCATTTATTAGGCTAGTTCCGGCATGGAGTTTCCAAACGCCTTACTTTTAACTCGAGATTTAGTAGATTTTATAATAATCGCTAAGTAACTGACAAACCTATGATAATTTTATGCTAAATGGCATATAGCATTAAGCTATCTCGAGTTACGCGGAAACGTAAAAGAGACAGAAAAATACCCAAAGAAAGCGTGCGTATAGTCGATCAGTCCTCGTTGGACTCACGTCTTGCGCATCAGGCAACTCCGCTGAAGTCCAAATGTAAGAAAATATTTAGTACTGTTGTGGATGGGAACAGTTTAACTTCACCAAATGTTGTTGTGAGTCACTCGCTCGACCCACATGACACTGTGATAAAGAAAGCTAACAGTAAGAAGCCGGTAGCTAACCGGCAGGATCTGACATCACGGTCGAAGGCCGCGAACACGACTTTTAAGGAAGTTAAACAGGTGCCTAGTGTAATCATCTGGAACTTGGAAGAATCGAAAGACACCGATCCCGCTAAGAGACACACCCACAACCTGCAGTTAGTGGGATCTCTCATCAGAAATATACTGCCCGATGAGATCCCAGGGGTACATATCTCGAAAGTAATCAGACTCGGTAAATATGTTGGAGGTGAAACCCAACAGAGAAGGATCCTTAAATTAGTACTCGGTAATTTTGAGGAAAGGGATGTAAAACTGAATAACGCACGCAAAACTCGTGACTCAAACATTCGTACTCGACCTGACTGGCCACTTGAGGATCGGATCAAGTGGAAGAATGCCCTAACAGAGTTAAAAACTCGAAAGCTAAACGGTGAAGCGAACCTTACGATTAAGGGTTTTCGGGTAGTCAGGTCTTGGAAGCCAATGCTTCCGAGACCTGTGTGGGTAGAACGTATGTCTCCAAAAACACCTTAAATGTGTGTTACATGAATGCTCGTAGTCTTCGGAATAAGATGTCTGAGCTAAGTTTGATGGTAGACGAATTAAATCCGAATATAATTGTTATCACCGAAACTTGGCTCACTGTAGATATAGACTGTTCTCCAGTCATTTCAGGCTACATCTGTGTCAGAAGTGATAGAGTTAGAAGTCGCAAGGGAGGAGGCATAATATTATATGTTAGGGACCACTTCCGCATAAACTCGATCATATCGGAGGTGCATGTAGGTGGTACATATGAGGTAGTATGTTGTACAATCAGGTCTAGAAACGGGTTAGTGACAATAGGAGGAATATATCGTAGTCCGTGTTGTCTCGCTGACGACTTTATCCTAAGACACGTCTGTTCTTGGAGTAATGCAGAATGTTGTCTCATCGTTGGAGACTTCAATGCACCCCATATAAACTGGATAGAGCTCACAGCTCCAGGTGGGGGTTTCGACAGCGTCCTTCTGTCATCAATTATTCAATGTGCACTTGTACAATGTATCGTTAAGCCGACGCATATAGACTTGGAACATAATCCGTCATTGATAGACCTTGTCCTCACACACCACTGTGAAGATATCGTCGACATTCAACACCTTCCTCCACTGGTGAATAGTGACCATTTCGTACTTTCCTTTAAGTTCCGGATACATGGTATAGAATTTGCATCAGCTCCACCCCGTCCTAATATCTGGAGAGCTAATATTCCGGCAATCAGGGACTATGCTATCTCAATTGACTGGTCGGTCGATGCTGATGGATCGATTGATGATGCATGGAATAGGTTTAAGTCTACGTTCGAATCCGTAACTCAACCGTTTATCCCATGGTCAGCACGTAAGCTATCATATTGCCCTCCATGGATTAATAGGGAAACCCGGGAGCTGTTGAAGCGTAGGAAACACTTCTGGGACTTATTCTTGTCAACAGGTCAGGCATTATTTAAGTGCGAATATAAAAAAATCCGGAATATATGTAAAAAGACCATAGCTGAATCCCGCACGGCTTACGAACGACAGTTGGCATACGATAGCCGTACCTGTCCGAAGCTACTGTTTTCGTACGTTAAAAGGCAGACGAAACGTAGTGATGGTATCCCCTCGTTACTGTTAAGCGAAAATTTAGCTTTATTGGCTGAATCTGATCTAGCGAAAGCGGAGATATTTGCTAACTATTTCAGTGAAGTCTACTCTACGTGTAGTGTTACAACTACTTGTCCCGTTGACAATGAGATACCAGCCATAGGACCTTTACACGTGACAGAGGATATTGTTCCTCCTTTGACAACTAACCTAAAACCTTGCAAGATACCGGGCCCTGATGGGTTACACCCACGTTTACTGTCATCGCTTGCGGACATTATCTCAAGACCGCTCACGATGCTCTTCAACATGTCCCTTTCACAGGCTCAACTACCTAGAGACTGGAAAGGCGCCATAGTTAGTCCTATATATAAGGATGGTCAGAGACGGATCGTATCTAACTACCGGCCTGTTAGCCTGACCAGTATAGTAGTTAAGTTACTTGAAAAATTAATTCGGGCTAAGCTACTGAGTCACATAGATTCGTACAATCTGTTAACTCCCGAGCAACATGGGTTTCGTAACAAGCATTCATGCTTGACTAACTTACTAATTGCGAGAGAGGATTGGACAGCTGCCCTAGACAACGGCCTGTCTACTTAAGTCGTCGACGTTATTGTTTGTGGATGATGTTAAAATTTGGAGAACAATAGGAAATGAGACTGGTCGTTGTTATTTGCAAGCAGATTTAGACGAATTAGTTAGGTGGGCTCATGATTGGGGCCTGGAAGTTAATTCCAGGAAGAGCGTGTTCATGCACATCGGGCACGATATTAGTTACCACTATACCATTAATGGTACATCCCTTCCACGCGTTCAAGAGCACAAAGACTTAGGAGTAACTATAAGTCACGACTTGAAAACCACTACGCACTGCAATGCGGTTGCTTCCAAAGGCTTTCGCGCGCTATGGTCGCTTCGCAGAGCATTTAAATGCTTTGACGAGGAGATGTTTCGAATTTTATATCCCACTTATGTAAGGCCACACTTAGAATACTGTATCCAAGCAGCTAGCCCTTGTCTGATAAAGGATACTAAATCTCTTGAGTGTGTCCAGCGTGTAGGGACAAAATTGGTAAAGGGTCTTTCTAAACTCTCTTACGATGAGCGTTTAAAACGTCTAAACCTTTTCCCCTTATCTTATCGTAGGACGCGAGATGACCTTATACTGGCATTTGGTATCTTTAATTATGATCTGGGTGTTAATATGTCTTATCTTTTTGCTCCCTCCAGCACTAATAATCTCCGATGTCATAGCAAGAAGGTTCTGAAACCGCGATCTAATAAACTAAAGGTGGGGTCCCGTTTTTCTCATCGAGTGGTCAATGACTGGGACGCTTTACCAGAACAAGTGGTATCAGCACCATCAGTGAACATTTTCAAGAAGAAGCTGGACCTTCACTGTAAGGAAATCTGTCAGGATTAACACAGTTTCATCAACCTACTATCCTTATTACTGAAGACTGAAGACTGAAGCCTGAGTTAATGTCCTATAACTTACACAAGCAACACCATGAATACCTCATTTTAGTTCTTCAAAGTTAGAAGAATACAACAAAAACGGAGGGCTAATTGATCTAACATAAACGTAGTTCACGATAAAAATATATAACATTATGTTGTTATCTGAATGATGCAATATAAAGATGATCTTTACATAAACTTGATGTGAATAGAGATATTACAACCATCACAGCGATCGGAAACAGGAAGATCGGCAGGAACAGTTATCATTCAGGGTTACATGGGGTGCTTGAAGGACCCGTGAAATGGTATTGAACTCCAGCCAAATCATCTAACAGGCAGGTCATTGGATGATGAACAATCTTCCAATCTTCGTGAAGATCAAGGACAACCGACTCTTAATATCCAGTCACATGCCATCGACAAGCGCGTGTCGCAGAGGTTGCAATCTGTTTCTCGTACTTATTCTACACTGCCGTAAAATTCACATCTGAGTTATGCAGTCACCAAACTAGCCATATGAAAATGAAAAACAATACTGTTAATTACACTTCCTTGGCTTATAGGACTCTGAATCAAGTTCTGGATACATTTTGAGATAGTATGAACAATGGATGGATGCTATGAAGAGGAAGTGTAGTGATATTGGTTCTCAACCACACGATCTTTGAAGCGGAACATACGACCACTAAGAAGATTTACACTCAATATTTAAGGCCATGGAAAAAGTCAGAAACGGTGAACGCGTGGACACTTAACCTGTATGGTATGGCTCAGCCACCCAGGAATAGTTACTATATATAACTTGTGCCTTTTCATATTGAGTAAATTATCTTCTTCCCATCTCAAACGTGTCCTTCAGAAGTTCGAAGCTTCTACAGTTACCTCTGTTATCCTTATTACCTATCGAAAAAATTTGTAACTAGCCTTTTATTCGTACCATTAATTGAATGTGTGTCAACTGCGTTCGAAAATCTTTTGTAGAAAGATACTTGCCCAACATGCATTCTATGGTGGCATGACCATATTCAAGCGTATTTAAGGCTATGGGATCAAACAGGTCGACCCGTCACTAACGTGTAGCCCATGAATCACTCATTTGCTATTTTACTGTGGATAAGTTAAAGCGAACAAACCTTTATAAGCGGGAACTTACCTATGTAAATTATGTTCACTGTGCATAC